CTATCATGATCCCAATTCTACCTTACAAATCTGGCTAGACCAGAGGATGTACACTGGTACAGATAGGAACTGGAAACACAGGGAATCCAGGGTAGATGATCCCTTCAGGACCTGGAGGGTTGAGGGAGGGTGGGGTAGAGAGGGGGAACCGATTTCAAGGATCTACATATAACTTCCTCTTGGGGGACAGACAACAGAAAAGTGGGCGAAGGGAGACGTGGGACAGGACAAGATATGGCAAAATAATACTTTATAAGTTATCAAGGGTTCATGAGGGAGCCGGGAGGGAGGGGGAAAATGAGGAGCTGATGGCAGGGTCTTATGTGGAGAGCAAATGTTTTGAGAATGATGATGGCAACAAATGTACAAATGTGCTTTATACAATTGATGTATGTATGGATTGTGATAAGAGTTGTATGAGCCCCCAGTAAAATGATTTAAGAAAAAGAAAATATCCTGGCTTGGGTCTGGCTCACCTCAACCCTGAAATGATGTCTTTCCTCTTTAAAGATGTCTTCGGCAGCAGATTTGCCCAATGCAATACTTCGTTTGATTTAACAGAAAATTTATTGGCATATAATTCACATGTCATACAATTCAATAGTTTAAATATGTTAAAAAGTTTTGCAATCATCACCACAATCAATTTTTAGACCATTTTCTTCTTTTTATTCTCATTATTATTAGCTCCCCAGTTCCCATCAACCTCCCCTACCTTAACCCCAAGAAACTATTAATCTAGTTTCTGTATAGTTTCTCTATAGATTTGGCTCTCCTGCCTTTAATAATATAAAGAAAAATAATACAAAGACAAAAAGAAAATATTGAGCAAAACAATAACAACAAAATATAAAAATAAAAACCTTAGTTGGAAAGATAACAGAAAATAATAAAAACTAGAACAAATTTAAAATGGGCCAAAAGTTGCACTTGCTAAGTTGTAGAATGCATTAGAAAGTGGATTGTTGTAGATGCAGTTAGCACCCTATCATGTGACCTCCTCTCAGATTCATTTAATTTATTTTAGTTTTTAATATTTTCTGCTTTCTTGTCGATTGAGGCTTTTCTCTGTTTTACTTTGTTGTGGTGGTTAGTTTTGTTTGTTTAATGTTTTTCTGTCTATGAAATCCAGGAGAGGTAAATCTATAGAAACAGTCACTGGACTCATGGTTCCTTGAGGGGATGGCAGGGGAATTGAGGGGAAATGAGGAGCTAAGAACAATGAGTATAAGAATGAAGAAAATGTTTTAAAAATGATTGTGGTGATGATTGCACAACTCTTCTTGATGTGATTGAACTGCTGAATTGTATGATATGTGAATTACATGCCAATAAAACTGTTAGGAAAAAAATAAAGTGGGTCCAAAGATAGAACAAATGAGAAGTTGTTAAATTTTAACCTAATCACATCTACGGTCCCCTTTCCAATGCACTTTGATAGCAAGGCTATTCACACCCCTGGCCGATGGTCAGAGGGGATTCACTGGAGGCTTATTGCAAGTGGGGACTTTGCAAATGGACTTTAGGCTTTCTTCGTCAGCCATAGTCTTCTGCAAATTTGGTGGTCAGACTTTATGCTCTACTCCTGTTTCCCCCTCCAGTCTTGGATTTTATTGATTACTATCCTTGGATCACAAATGCTGGAGTGCTTCTTCTATTTGGACTTGGTTAAGTCATCTCACTTAGATCGCTGCTTATTTGAAGACAAGCCATCAAGACCCGAGGTGCTATTCTTTCTGATCCTCAGGTACCATCTTCTTCATCATACTTTGCTATAGCACCCATATCTTCAGTGAGGGTTAGAGATAGGGTGAAACTTGCAATAACATTCATTCACAAAGACAGAACCATACCTGCTAGACTAAGACATGCCATTAAAAAGCAGAGAGAGTATGCAAATAGCAAATATATGGTGACCTTGTGCTGTTCACTGGGTAGTCTCAAAGCAAGCTATCCAAATCAAAGTCCAACAAACTCCAACTCCATATCCTTGGAATAACACTCACCTACGTAGTCTCATCCGAAGGTGTTCCAGTATTCAGTCCAAGGGGGTATTTCAGTCCCTTAAATCTGCTACAGGTGAGTTCAAGGTAATGTCCACTTCAATTAGTTGTTGTTTGATTTTTTGACTGAACATATGTGCTGCTCCATGGAAAGTGAAATCCATGATAATTTCAATCTTTTCTCCATTTTTCATGATGGATGCGTATTGGTCCATTGTGAAGATTTTTGGTTTCCTTCTATTGAGTTGCAACCCATAAGAAAATCTGCACTCTTGGATCTTCATCGACAAGTGCCTAAGTCCTCTTTGCTTTCAGCAAGCAAGCTTGTGTCATCTGCAGATTGAAAGTTGTTAACAAGTTTTCCTCCAATCCTGATGCCAGGCTCTTCTTCATCGTCCCGCTCCTCAGAAGATTTGCTCAGCATACAGATTGAATAAGTATGGTAAAAGGATACAACCCTGATGCTCACCTTTCCTGATTTTAGACCATGCAATGTTCTCTTATTCTGTTCAAACAATGTCTCTTTGTCCATGGACAGGATCTGCATGAGCATAATGAAGTGTTCTGGAATTTCCATTCTTCACAATGGTATCCGCAGCTTGTTGCTATCCATACAGTCAAATGCCTTTGCATATGCACTAAAACGCAAGTAAACATCTTTCTGCTGCTCTATGCTTTCAACCAAGAGCCATCTGACATCAACGGGATCCCAAGGATGCCCCTCCCCTGAATCTGGCTTGCATTTCTGGCAGCTTCCTGTCGATGCACTGCTGCATCAGTTTCTGAAGGATCTCCACAGTATATTATTTGCAAAGAATATGAATGAGATTGATAATTTTTGCATTCTGCTGAGTCACATTTCCTTAGAATGGGCACACATATGGATCTGTTTGCGTTGGTTGGCCAGATACATTCGTGAATGCTTCCAGTGCATCATAAGTTTGTTGAAACATTTCAATAGGTGTTCTATTAATTACTGGAGCCTTGTTTTTGGCTACTGCCTTCACTGGACCTTGGACTTCTTTGTTCAATACATTGGTTCTTGATTATGTGCTACATAGTGAAATGGTGACTATCAACCAATTCTTTTTGATATAGTGATTCGATGTATTATTGCCATCTTCTTTAGATACTTCCTGCATCATTCAGTATTTTGTCCATGGAATCCTTCATTATTACAACTCAAGGTTTGAATTTTTTCCCCTTCAATTCTTCCAGCTTGAGATATGCTGAGTGTATTCTTTCTTTTTGGCTTTCCAACTCCTTGACTTTAAACATTTCATTACAATGCTTTGTGTTCTAGAGTTGCTGTGTTAGTCTGGATTGACTAAAAAAACAAATCCAGGAAGACACTCATGTGTAGGAAATATATTTATCTACAAGAGCAATTGAATATTGAGAAAACATCCCAGCCCAGTGCAGATCAAGTCCATAAATCTGATATAAGCCCATATGTCCAAAACCAATCTATAAAGTCCTCTTCAGACTCAGGAAACACATGCAATGACACTGAATGCAGGAAGTTCACAGGCCAGTGGGTGTGAAATCTTGTGGATCCAATGGCGTTGTAAGCATCTCAGCGCTGGCAGGGGTCTCCACATGGCTTCTCCAGCCCCCAGGGCTGCATCAGAGTAGGTCCATGTGGCTTCTTCACAGGAATGTCTCTCAGGGAATGAACTGAGAGAGAGTGTGTCTCCAGTCTCCAAGGAGGAAATACAGGAGTTCCCAGAATCCTCAGGAGAAGGCAATGTCCACACAGAGGCCTCATTGGCTATATCCTGATTGACAGGCTAGACTCCACCCCTACACTCTTAATCCTCCAATTGACACCAGATTATGTAACTACCACAGTTGCCCTTTATAATGTTCTACATACCGTATATACTTGAGTATAAGCCAACCCGAATATCAGCTGAGGTACCTAATTTTACCACAAAAACTGCATTTTAAATGTGCTGAAAAGGTCAGCTTATACATGAGTATATACAGTATACTTTTACTTCATCATTTCATCCATTTGCTTTAGTTAAAAGCAAGTTTCAGAGTCTCTTCTGACAATCACTTTGTTCCGTGCTTTCTTTCCTGTATTTTTAATGACCATTTGCTTTCTTCACATGTGATGTTTTTGATGTTATTCCACAGCCAGTCAGGTCTTCTGTCACTAATGCTCAGTGTGTCAAATCTGTTCTTGGGATTATCTCTAAATTCAGGTAAGTTAGACTCAAGATCGTGGAATGGTTTTAATTCTCTTCAGCTTCAACCTGAACGTACATATTAGCAATTGATGGTCTGTTTCCATAATCAGATGATGGCCTTGCTTGGGCTGCTGATATTGAGCTTCACTATGCTCAATGGATTCCTGTGCATATTATCTGGTAAGTTTCCATGTATAGTCACCATATGTATTTTTGAAAAAAGAGATTTGCAATGAAAAAGCTATTGTATTGGTCTTGCAAAATTCTACCATGCAATCTCCAGCTTTGTTTTTATCAAAAGGCCATCTTTTCCAAATAACAATCCTTCATTTGTGTTTTCAATTTTTGACTTCCAATCACCAGTAACTTACCATTGCATCTTGATTTCATGTTTGATTGACTTCATACTGAAGATGTTGGTAGAACATTGCAATTTTTTAAAAATCACTGGCTGTAGTAGTTGTTGGGGTAAAACTGAATAATAGTTGTATTAATTGGACAACCTTATAGGAATATTGATATTATCCTATCACAGGCAGCATTGTACTTCAGATAGATCTTGAAATGACTGGTGGGATGACATGCCTCTTGAATTTATCATTCCAGAAATATTGAAACATATGATTGTTGGACTCATAATGGCCAATACTAGTCCCTTCTAGCTCACTAATGCCTAGAATACGGATTTTTATTTGCTCCATTTCATTTTCAATGACTTCTAGTTTTCCGAAAATTATACTTTGTACCTTTTATGCTCCAATTGGAGCCCTGGCGGCATAGTGGTTACACATTGGGCTGCAATCTGCATGGTCAGCAGTTTGAAACCACCAGCAGCTCTTCGGGAGAAAGACTGGGCTGAGTACAGTCCTGGAAACCCACAGGGGTCACCATGAGTCAGCATTAACTCAATGGCAGCGAGCTTGGGTGGTTTTTTTTGGTTTATGCTCCAATGTATTTTTTTTTTTACAGCATTGTCTTCTCATTTTGAGTCATGCCCACGCTTGAACTAGAGTCCCGAAAGCTTCACTTCATCTGTGTCATTAAAGTAAACTTTACTTTGAAGAGGCCGCTCATATTTTGAGGTCATTCCAACCTGAGGGGCTCATCTTCTGACATGATGTCTCACGGGGTTCCACTGGTATATATAAGGTTTTCAGTGCCTCATCCTTCAGAAGGGGATTGCTAATTTCTTCATCCTAGTCTGTTCTTAGTCTGGATGCTGTTACCATGGTAACCCTTTGGTTTGCAAACTACCAGTGGTGTTGCTTCCAGCATACAGCGGCATGCAAGGTACAGCAGTAGACATACTGACAGAGGAATGTGGGGTGACTTGCTCAAAAAACGCAGTGCTGTTGAGTAGGTGCTGACTCACAGCAACACAATAGGACTAAGCAGAACTGCCCCTGTGAGTTTCAAAGACAACTCTATAGGAGCAGGTGGTTTTGAACTACTGACCTTGCGTTTAGCAACCCAACACACAGCCGCTCTGCCATCAGGGCTCCAAGTTACTTGCCAGTTACGGGATATTGAAAAAACTATGTAATCATGCTCCACATTTGTAAAATGGATGGATATTAATATCTACTTCAAAGAGTTGTAAAGATTCAATACATTAAGACATGTAAAGTGCTTTCAGCAGTGCTAATCCAAGTGAGCCATGATTGCTTTGATGTTTAGAATTGACTTGGTGGCAATGGGCTTATACATTGTACTTTCTGATGTATGATCCTGCTTCAATCTCACAAAAATCCTTTGAAGTGGCGATTACTGCACTCCCCCTTCTATCACAGCCACAGGAGCATGAATGGCACCCCTGGTTAGGCACTGGGATACTAACTCCAAGGTCAAACCCATCAGTAGGAGAAAGAGGAAGCTGTTTGCTCCTATAAACGTTTGGTCTTGGAAACCCTGAGTCTTTATAGGAGTGGACAGTTCCATCTCTTTCCCAAGGGACAGCGGGTGGCTTGTGGTTAGCAGCCCCTGTTTATCCCACAGGGATCCTTGGGCTCCTCTGACAGACAGGGATATGAAAGCGAACATGATTGGAAAGATTCCCGCTAGGTCTGACCTCCAAATCTATGATTTCTCACTGGAGGGTGCTACCTACAACCCAGGGCAGGTGTTGGGTGTTCTTAGGGAGAAAGGGGTTGGAGCAGTGGCTCTCAACTTCCTAACGCCGCGACCCTTTCATACAGTTTCTCATGTGCTGGTGACCCCCCAACCATAAAACTATTATCGTTGCTACTTCATCATTGTAATTTTGCTACTGTTATAAATCAGGCGACCCCTGTGAAAGGGTCATTCGACCCCCAAAGGGGTCTCACCCACAGGTTGAGAACCACTGCATTGGAGAATAATGATGAGGGGATACTTGACATGAGGTTGGCCCCAACCTCCAGGTCCTACTGCTCCAGCAACCTCTCCAGGACCCTCTCATCCCACCGCTGCAACTGTCATTCTTATTGCTGCCCTCCAGCAGGGGGCAGGGTCTGGCCTTGGTTGCTCTTGTCATATCAACAAAACAAAGCCAGGAATGGTCAAGGTTGGTGTGCTGACTGCAGCTAGCAGGTACCTGGTGTAATCTGGCAGCTCTGGGTAGAGACGATGAATTTTCTACTCCCCTTCTTTACTGTTGCTGTGCATTCTCCTGTGGTCTACAAAGGAAGAAGACAGAGAGAGAGAGACCATTTGCCTTAATCTTTCAAGTGAGGAAATTGACCTAGATTGTTATTAAACTTAATTTTCCTTTTAAATATAGGAGCCCTTATGGTGCAGTGGTTACACGTTGGACTGCTAACCTCAAGGGCAGCAGTTCAAAACTACTAGCTGCTCTATGGGAGAAAGATGAGGTTTTCTACTCCCATAAAGGGTTATAGTCTCAGAAACCCATCAGGGCAGATCTATCCTGACCTAGAGAGAGGGTCAGTATGTGCTGAAATCGTCTCCATGTGGCAGTGAGTTTGATTTGGGTTTTCTTTTTAAATGTGTGGAAAAATTTCCAGTAGAGTTTGAGACACATGAATTAACACATTGCTAGTCTAATGGTGATTATTTTATAAACCACTGATATTTGTGAAATGTTGAAAGAGAGGCCATATAAATGGTGAGGTTTTATCCCTTGAGTCTTTAAGCCCTGGAGATATTTCTTTGCACCAAGACAGACACAGTGTCTCAGAATCTAACTGCTAAGCTATTCTGATTCACCTTTCAATTGCAGTGGATGAAAACGGTTCACACCAATAAGCTGCAGCAGGTTTAATGATGGTTATTGAACAGGTTCAAACCTACCGACCACGCCCTGGAGGGCAGACCTGAAGATGTGCTCCTGAAAGGTCACGAGAGCAGTTCTATGTGGAGTCGACCCCACGTGACTGGTTTGGTTTTCTCAGGGAGGGCGTCTTCCTCCATTTTTAACCGGAGACCTCCCACCCCTCTCTGTCTACGACAGAGTATAGCTCGCAAGCATTTGTCTTGGATGCAGTCTGAGCGTTTGTGTGCCTCTCACAAGCAGACTTCAAGACATGAACCATTCCCTGCAGGAGTACCAAAGCTGGGCAGGCTCCAGGAAACCTGCTGGAGGGACAGAGCAATCCCTCAAGCAACTTACAGCGTCCGGGGCTTCCTTGTAGTCACAGTCCTGCCAGGTTTTGCCGCTGTGAACGGGACAATCACCCTCCTTGATTTCGTACTTTATGGAATAGAACGTATCAGAGCCATCCTGCGGAAAAACAACCAAATATATCTTTGTTCATCCATCCAACATGTAATTGGAGTGGGAGTTGGTGTTGTTATAAATACTTGATTTTGATTTGACTCAATGATGCCAGGCAAAAGGTTCTTTAAGGAAGGGGTGAGTCAACCAGGGTGCAGTAAATCGCCGATGAAACACACAATATTCTTCTGGTTCTTTGAGGCTTCCTCACTCCCTAATATCATGAGCCCAGTGCTGCCTCTCATGTCAGATTAGACTGGAGCATGTGCACTGGTACCGATAAGAGCTCACGGCACATGCAATCCAGGTCAGATAAACCCCTCAGGAACAGAAATGGAGTATCGATACCAAGAGAGTAGAGGGAAGGTGGGGTAATGAGGAAGGGGGCACTGATTGCAATGACAGACACATAACCACAACCACCCCCAACCCCAAGGGGGTGATCAGCAGAAACCATTGGGGAAGGGAGACAGTGGTCTGTGTAAGATATGATAATAATAATAATTTATAATTTATCCAGGGGTCACAAGGGTTGGAGGGGGGAAAAGAGGGGCTGATACAAAGGGCTCAAATAGAAAATAAATGTTTAAAAAATAAAGATGGCAGCATATGTACAAATATGCTTGATACAATGATGTATGGATTGTTGTAAGAGCTGTAAGAGCCCCCATTAAAACAATCTTTTTAAAAGGAGCACTGAAAGCTAGATTTGCCTGTAAAAAACATTCACACAGTCTATTGCCAAATACATATTTTTAAAGTAGTAATCACAGTATTAGTCCATTATTATTTATTTGTTTTTAGTAATAAATTATTTTATTGGCGGCTCTTACATATAACAGTCAATACATCCATTATATCAGTGGGATATGTACAAATATTGCCATCACCAATTTCAAAACATGATCTTTCTTCTTGAGCCCTTGATATCAGGTCCTCTTTTTTCCTTCCCTCCCCCGCCCTGTCACCCTCACAAACCCTTAATATAGTCCATTATTTTTAAAAAGCATTTATTTGCATTCAGGACTAAGGTGTGCCTATCCCAACCCATGGTCTCTTCAATCATTTCATATGCATGTGAAAGTTGGGCGTTGAATGAGGAGGACTGAGAAAGAATCGGTGCATTTGAATCACGGTGCTGGCAAAGAATATAGGAAGCACCATGGCCTGCTAAAAGGACAAACAAGTCTGTCTCGGAACAAAGACGGCCAGAGCGCTCCTGAGCGGCAAGGGTCTTGAGACTTCATCTTACATACTCTGGACATGTCGCCAGGCGAGACCCGTCCCTGGAGAAGGACGTCACGTCGGTGAAGTAGAAGGGCAGTGAAAAAGAGGGAGGCTCTCAAGGAGATGGATGGACACAAACAGAGGAACAATTGTGAGGATGGGGCAGGGTAGGGCAGTGTTTCATTCTGTGTGCACAGGGTCGCTATGGGTCAGAACCAACTTGATGGCACCCAACAACAAGGACAACAACAACAAATATATATATATTCTCAAAACATCTGGCAGCGTGTGCAGCAAGCTGCTAGTAGCTGGCCTGTCAGTGCTAGACTTCCCCTGGCTTCTTTAAACAAACCTTCCTGTATTGTCTGACTTCCTTTAGACAAGCATGTATTACTTTTCCTCCCTCCCGTCTGAAATGTATTTGCTCTTCAAACATGTGTGATTTTTACAACTAGAAAAAAATATGTGCCACGAGTTATTTTGCTGTAAAAATGACATGAACAGTGGGGTAATGGAAGGGTTTTAGGAATGCATCTGCTTTCTGCCTCCCCACTTGAAGGCCCGGAGGCCATGAGATAATGAATTTCAAAGTTAAAGGTGAAGTTTCAAAGTACTGGCTTATAGTGACCTGTGAGAGGCACTACCCTAGCATGTCAGCAACAGTAGAGAACTGAGAGAGGATGTTGCCTACGCCCTCTTTTTGCAGATGAAAGAAGTCAGGGTCCAGAGGACAGGGCAGGAAGGCTCAGGCCATCTGGCATCCAAAGAAAGGCAGCGCCAGTCCCAGACCTCTGATGTCCCCACACCCAGGGCCAGACTCCACACAACGTAACCGCCTCAAGTAACTGCAAAGGCACCCCGTGTCTTCTCCGAGGCTCCTTCTCTAACTCTGTCAGGCTTTAATCCTTCAGGTCTATAAAGCAATCGGAGGCGGTGGTCTGCGTGCCCACACAGGGAAGCACGCGGTCAAGAAGAGGGTAAATGGACATTTTCGAGCAAACAACCCCGTGTCATAACCATCAACAAATGAAGACAAAACCAACAAAAGGTCGCTGGAGGACCCCAAGAAGGGAAGAGAGCCACTCGGGTCTCACCTAGAACTTGGGAGCCTAGCAGCCCTCGCAGAAGCACGCTAATCTGAGAAACAAAATGGCATGGTTTCACTTTCAGACAAAAGAAAACAAGTGTCCCCTCGGCTTTTTCACACTCGGCTCGCACCCTCACTACATAACCCTTGATGGTGAACTTCATTGAAACAAACCTTTAGCACACCTGCACTTCTTTGTGCCATGCACCCCGCCGGGAGCTTTCATTGCGGGGCTGAAAAGGACTTAGAAGGAACCAAAACATTGTAAAATGTGATGCATTCAACCCTGGTCAGTCTCACTTCTGACCCCTCCCAGCGCTTGAAGCCTCATTTACATCTTCCTCTTTCCGCGGCAGTGGCTGTAAGGAATCCCCTTGTGGCAGCCGGCCTGAGTGCCAGTGTCTCCCATTCTGGTCTGTCCTTATTCCACTTAGCTTTTTTTTTAAAAAAACAACACCATTTTATTGGGAGGGCTCTTACTAATCCTCTAACAATCCATCATTCAGTTGTGTGAAGCACACTTGTGCATAAATTGCCATCAACACTTCCAAAACATCTCATTTCTACTTGAGTCCTTGGTATCAGCTCCTCTTTTCCTCTCCCTTCCTCACTCTTGGGAATCCTTGATCAACTATATATTATTATTTCATATCTTACACTGTCCGTTGTCTCCCTTCACCCACATTACTGTTATTTGTCCCGAGGGGGGGGGCTATATATCCAACCTTGTGATAGGTTCCGCTTTTCTCCCCCTTTCCCCTGCCCCCACCATCCCCTACCCTCATGATATCTATACTCCCACTACTGTTCCTGGGGGGTTTGTTTGTCAGGAATTCCATGTGTCTACAGCTCTTATCTGTACCAATGTGTGTACTCCATCCAGTCTAGCCAGATTTGTAAGGTAGAACTGGGTGATGGTAGTGGGGTGGAGAGGAAGCACTCAGGAACTAGAGGAATGATGTGTGTTTCGACGGTGCTATACTGCTCCCTGGTTGAATCATCCCTCCCTTGTAACCTTTCTGAGGGGGGATGTCCAATTATCTACAGATAGGCTTTAGGTCTTCATTCCAACCCCCCTCTTTCACGTCGATATCATTTTTTGTTTTAGATCTTTTGATACTTGATAACTGACCCTGTTGACATCTCATGATCACACAAACTGGTGTGCTTATTCCATGTGGGCTTTATTGCTTTCCTGCTAGGTGGCCCCTTGTTTAACTTCAAGCATTTTAGACTCAAGACACTATATCTTTTGATAGCCAGGCACCATCAACTTTCTTCACCACATTTGCTTATGTACCTATTTTGTCTTCAGCGATTGTGTAGGGAAGGTGCGTATCACAGAGTGCCAGGTTATTGGAACAAAGTGTTCTTGTGTTTAGGGAGGCCTTGAGTAGAAGCCCAAAGTCCATCTGCTATCTTAATACGTAACATATAACTATATGTACATTGGCCTCTATCTCTTTCATTATAAATTAGTATATTTACATATATACATGCTTAAAGCTATATCTCTATAAATAGCTTTTGCCTCCTACTTTTTCCCTATATTTCCTGTCACCTTCCTCCTATCCCACTATCATGCTCACCCTTGATTCGGCTCTCAGTAATTCCTCTCAGACACATTGTCCTTGATTAACTCCCACCAGGCATTCTGTGCCCCTCTCGCCATCAATTTTAGATCTCTTGTTCCCTTAGCTCTGAGTTTTTTGGCCCCCTGCTCCCCTTCTCCTTTTTCACTTAGCTTTGTCTCATTTCATCTGTCCCCTCTGATTACCAGCCAGCCTTAGTGACCCTAGGACAGGTCCTGCACTGCTCTCCCACACCACAGACCGCCTTTCCCACGGGGTAACCTTCTACCTAAGCTCGTCGGGTCTTGGAGTAGTGGAGTGGGGAACAGCAAAGGCCTGGACTTCACGAGACAGTTCATATCCCAAGTGACCTCAGGGTCAAACACAGCTCACTCACCATCTTGGTGACCTGGGTAATCCGGTACAACACAAACTGGTTGCCACTTGTCTTTTCATTGTATTTTTTCAGAGCAGCATCCACGGCATCAAAAACACCTTCGCTCTTGCAGTCAACTTCCTTGGAGAGGAATTCCTGGCTCAAACCTGGGAGCAGCCTGGAACAGAGGACAAGGATGGTGATTAGTTTCATGATGCGACAGTCCTCCCTCTAACTGCTGAGGGATGATTTCTCCAGAGCCGTCCCCAGCCTCTTATCTCTGTGCCCTCTTCTCTCCGTGTCCCAGCACTCCGGGGGCTTGCTGGGAATCTGGCTGCACACACTGTTTGCCCTATTCCAAGAGGGCACATGACCCTGCCGGGTTATCCAAATAGATTCGGGCTGGAACATTACAACACATGGGTTGATGACCTGCTTGTTTGCATTCTAAAAGTTCAGGGGAGAGCAAAAAGTGCCTTTCCACATGGCTACACAACGTGTTTGATGGAACAGATCAGAGCAGGATCTAATGAGGAAGAGGAAAAAAACTACCAACTGGCTCATGACCTTATGACTTTCCCAAAGCCATTAAAAAAGGTTCCTGCATGCAGAAGGGCAGCCATGTGCACAGTGTGTAGAAACATCTTCCACATGGGATTTCCTTGCAAGGTATTTGCATAGAAGCCAGCTGCTGTCCATCCTACTCCGTGCCTAGGGAAACCTGTACCCAGAGACCCAAGTGAGAACTGGGAGTCCCATCGCAAGACATTGGGACAACTGAGGGGAAAAGGGTGGGGAGTATTCTATCTGGCTCTCTACCCTCCCAGGCTTTGTGAAGGAAAATGCTTGCCAGTGTGGAGAAGGCAGGAAGGAAGTGTATGGGCAGTCGGTTTGCATGAAGCCCCGCACCCCTTGCCCTTGCTTCTTGCTTGACATGTCTGTGGGTGCCTCTGTCACTAGGCCTAAGCAGCCTTTTTGATAAAGTTGGACTATGCAAGGAGAGGAGGCATGTGGACAGGTTAAAGATTGGATTCGATTTTTGGATTAGTAGATGTTTGCCCGCAATTCTTACCACACATGAAAAAGGTGGTTGACTTCTGTGCTGTTGGTGGAAGGATGTCTAGTCTCCCTGAAGGCTTCTGGAAAGGAGAGGGCAGTGTGGGCTGAACGGTGGCAGGAACATGAATCCGCAGTTAATCCCACTGGACTCCACTATGTCTCCGCTTCCTCAGCACCTTTCTACAACTCCATTTCCCCTATTTGTCAGCTGTGCAAAGTGGTACATACAGACACTGATCAGGAAGGGAGAAGGTGGCTTTGGATGAAGGCTGATCAGGGTTCTAAGCCCACTCCCACAATTTACTAACCATAACATTCTTTTTTGGGGGGGTGGGGCTAATCTTCATTCTCTGAAAAATGTCAATCGTGGAAGCGGCCGGCTAGTTATTTATTCAACCCAGTTTCTTGTCCGGAGCATACAGCTGGACTTCATTTCCTACCCTTCCTTACAGTAGGTATGCGACTGAGTGCTAGCCAATGAAATGTGAAGGTAACTTATGGATCCCACTTCCCTTTGAGGTCTGCTCCATGACTCCCCATGGCTCACCCCCTTGTCCTCCTCGACTTTCTCTACACGCGAGTTAGATACAAAGGATTCAGGATGAAAGGAACCTTAGACCCTGAATCACCACATGGATGGCCTTCTGTAAGTAATACACACCGACCGGTGGCATGAGAGAGAAATCCGATTCTGTGTTGTGAAGCCACTGAGCTTCTTCATTATAGCAGCTGACTTGTTAACACAATGATATTACCTGTATAAGAGAGTTGTAAGAATTAAAATTGCATAACACACGAAAAACTCTTCTGACTCAAAATACATTACATATATATGTCCATTAAGCAGATATTTCTCTTTTTTTAATCATTTTATTAGGGGCTCATAAAACTCTTATCACAATCCATACATACATCAATTGTGTAAAGCACATTTGTACATT